ATTCAAAACATGACACTGCATCTGTCTCCTCTTTTATTCTTGTTCCTCACTGTCAGACTGTCATTAAGTTCCATCAATTCTTCCTTAAGAAAATTTCTTCTGCTCACACCTACTTACCATGCTCATAATCACCTGAGTAGGGCTTTATTTCACTTCATACCTAGACTCTTACAGCAGACTCTAAATTGGTTTCCTTAATTTCATTTTCTCCCCCTCCAAATCAATCTCACTGCTATTCCCTTCATCAAACCACTCTTTTGATCAAGAAACATTGGTGGCTTTCCCCTGATGACAAAAAAAAGTTCAAACTCCTGACTCTGGCATTCGGGACCCTCCATTCAGAATCAACCAATCTTTCTAAATTTATCTTCTAGTATTCTACACTTTAACCTTCTATTCTAACTAGACTGATAGACTCAAGCTTCACTTATTGCTGCCCCCCCAACCCCACCTTTGTTCTGCCTGCCTCCCCCTACTTCCCTCATCCTCCTTTCTTATCACTAGGAAAGGAATTGAGATAATTCCAAGTAACTATGATCCACCCCTCTTCTAATCACTCCTAATAAGTGCTCTGAAAATTTGTTTTTATGTCACTCATTCCACACTTAATGCATACTATCTTACTTAATCTTTTTAAAAAGTGTAATATCACTGTATTTCTTAAAAGTAATCCCAACCAGAGTACAAAACTTTCAAGGGCAAGAACAAAATCCTGGCTTCTCTGTATTCCCACAAGTACCTAGAGTACAATACTTTGCATAAAGAAAACACTCAATAAATATTTTTTGCCCAATTACTTAAATATTATTAAATAAATAGGCAGAAATAAATTTAGAGTATCATATTTAACCAGAGGATTTAAAGTAAAGCCCCTAGATTTCTGTACCTAACTTGGTTTTCCAGGGCTATCTCTTCTTCTCCCACCCCTGGCCAGTAAAATTCATCTCATACCTTAAATTTCCACATATTCGATGGCAAGAAAGTCCCTCCAAAATCAACAATTTATGCTGTTAAAAACACTGGAAAGTTAGATGGATGGATGGATGGATGGATGGATGGATGGATGGATGGATGTTAGAGAGATGGCTGAAAAGATGCATGAATAGTATTTACTAGTTGCTTAGAAAGTACTAGTCACTGCACTGAGCACTGCTACATGTATTAACCTCATTTAGTTCTCAGAACAGTTCTAGGATTTAGATAATGTCATTGTCCTTGTTTTATGATAAGGAAACCAAGGCACAAAAACATTTATTTTTTTAAAAATTAAAATTTGCCTAAAGTCACACCTTGTAAAAACAAAAAGCAGAATTTGAACTCAAGTGGTCTAACTCCAGGGCTGATGCTATTAGAATTAAAGGTAACTAACAGTAATTCTAAATTAAATAAATTATTAACTATTTTCAATTATCATCTGAATTTTTCTTTACTAATGTATATACTTCCTATTTTTAATATTACAGTTAGATATTCTGGATTCTCATTTAATCTAAGCTTAGTCAAAGGATTTGTTATTTTTTTCCTTCCTTCTACAGGTGAAGGTGTTTAATTATTGGTTAACAACTATTAAAAAAAAAACAGAGAAAGAGAGAGAAAAGAGTAGAGGTGCCAACCCTCTAATCCATTTGACTCTCATTCTAAACAGCTTGACAACAAAATTATTTATGGAAATAGTTAAAGGTATTGCCACACAAAGCTGAGAGGTTCACTGTAGTTTTTATATGGTAAATTTTCTAACATATATTTGTTTGTTGTTAACTATCCATGCATTCCCTAGCATGCTTTTACTGGTTAGTCTAGATAGTCAACATTTAACTATATTCTTACATAGACAATTGTGAGATAAAATAAGGATGTCGCTGCCCAATCATTTCAAGGTCTAGAGAAACGTGAGATCCAATTTCTACCTTCCACCTCTTACCAGAAAGGCCACACCAGAAGCATCAGATACAACTGCAGCTGTCTCATTACAAAGGTGTTGAGGACAGCCTTGAAAAAAATGAGATGAGGTACTTGAGCAGTATATATTTAACACATGACCCTTTAAAATCTGACTGCCATATAACATTATATGTACCCTAACTTCTGGGGGAACAAAATAGAAAAAAAAAAAACTCATACACAAGGACTTGCATTTTTATAAATTATAATTGAATGAGGGCGCCTGGGTGGCTCAGTTGGTTGAGCGACTGCCTTCGGCTCAGGTCATGATCCTGGAGTCCTGGGATCGAGTCCCGCATCGGGCTCCCTGCTCGGCAGGGAGTCTGCTTCTCCCTCTGACCCTCCTCCCTCTTGTGCTCTCTGTCTCTCATTCTCTCTGTCTCAAATAAATAAATAAATAATAAAATCTTAAAAAAAATTATAATTGAATGTGAAAGCTGAGGAAAGGTTTTCACCACCAACCCAAATGTCCACATTTTTTATATACACCAAATAGTCTAGTTTCACAAGTAATTAAATTGCAGCTATCATGTATTTCTCCCTCCCTACCTTCACCGTCCCTCCCTTCCTTATAGCTATTTGCTGTAAGTTTCTCACTTGCATTTGCTGGTAACATGTTATCACAAACAGCTCCAGGAGAACATGAGAATCTAATTGTTCCCATGAATCATTACAC